TGAAGTGTAGCCAATGTGGTACACGGTGCTGCAGGATATATGTGAAAGGCAAGTGCCCCGGGCCCTCACAAGTTGCCTCAAAAACAGAGTTCCCTGTTATGGTCAAGGAAGTATAAAAATGCATGCCATTTTCTCCAATATGGACAACAAAACTATTTCCTTCAGGGCCCATTGATACTACGATCGTTAACAGGGTTTTTAACGGACTCAGAATTGGCTGTTGGGGGCTGACTGAACATAACATAATAAATCTACATGAAGACAACAAGTTTTACCTTAAATGGCAAAATTGTAGGCATTTTCTTGTCATTTAAGGCAACATAACAAACAAAATTGCTCAGAGGGCAAAAGTCCTCCCGAAGGCAAGAGCTATACTACAGTAAAACTTTGTTTTTATTACAATATGATGACTTCAACTTGTTATTGGAAACACAGACGTTGTTGGACATCAGATGGGAAAAATTAAAAGTGTGTTGAAGAGTTCTTTCCACCACCTTTCAGAGGATGTATTACTCAGTACGGTTTCTTGAGATTTTTCCAAAGGTCAATTTTGACCATGGGCTCAATGAAGGTCAAAGTCAAATGCTTGGCCAACCTAGACAGTCGTGTCTCCTGAGGCCTAGTATATTGTTGAGAAGTTTGAAGGCGATAAAAAAAAACCAAATTGTGGGTAATACAAAAGTTTTTTTCACATTTAATGTGACCATGACCCAGATTTTACCCAAATTTAATCTGTTTGCGCTGTTTTTTTGCATCTACCATCACAAAAAATGTGAAAATGACATCTTGAAAACTGTAAATCTTAGACTGCTAAGAAACAGACAGACAAACAAAATGAACTAATTACATACTGCCTTCTTTCAGGGGAGAATAAAAAGGGTGCATTACACCAGCTGCAAGAAAAACCCTGCTTTAATAATTTAGCGCTAACATATACATGCTCCTCGTATTTAACTCACGGACCTGTTGCATTTTCTCCAAGTCCAGACTGGGTCTCCCTGGCTCCCCCCCGTAGCTGTGCCGATACTTTCTGTAAGGTGCTGATTGGTCAAAGTGGGTCAAGATGATGGGTCGTGCAACCGGCGGCACCACCTGCAGCTGAAATCGCATGGGGGGTGGCTTGAGGCTACGTGGTGGGCTGGAGCTGAAAAGTACAGGGCTGGGGGAGGCAGCCAGGCAAGCACCGCGCTCCCCCAGCGACCTGGCGGAGGCGGCAGGCGACCTGCAGCCACAGAGGTCCCGCACCTCCTCATCACTGGAGGCACTGCTGTGGTGATCGCCGTGGCGCTGGGATAGTGAAGACACCCACTTCCTGTTATCGCCGCAGCTGATTCGCTCGAGTTCTTCCTCTGAAGAGTGGCGATCCAGATTGGCATCTAAAAGGAGGCGCAGGCGTCGCAGCCGTGCAGGAGAGAGGGGACCCTGGTTGTGCTGCTGGCTGGTGGCCAGAGGGGTGAGGGCACAATTTCTCCGCCTCTCTAGGAGAATTAAAAACTCATAAGTCAAATTTAAAAAATTGAATACGATTATAATTTAATACCGAACAGACCAGTTACACTGAAACAAGGTACCCCTCTGCTCTCATCTTTTCCCTACTTTTAAACTAACCACTAGTCAGATTTATCTCTCTCTCCTTCCTCTAAAGGACTAGGAAAAAAGTCACCAGGAATCCTAATAAAGGCTAGGTAATCATTCCAGATTACCCCAAGTCTACGCTATCAAAATATATATTTATTTTCTATTAAATCTCCCAGTCCTTGGAAATCAGGGGACAAAGACAATCACTGTAGCTGACACGCATCAAAAACTACTTGGATTTGTTACATAAATCTGTTGCATTTGCCTTTTTTTGTAAGGTAAAACATGTCCGGTAAAAGTGGGCGTTCGGCAACTTATTTTTTTGAACCATTTGCACCTCCTTCCAGTAGCAGAGCACTTTATTTTCATCTTGTTTAAGTGAGAGAAGATCCTGTAGCTTTGTGCAAACTATAAAGTCAAAATTGTGAAGTTTACCAATTTATTTTACTATGAAAATCTAATTTTACATTGACGAAAAGTTGAAATTGTTTGTACACGCTGTCAGTTATAGTTCGGTATCGGCAGGTCACATTCAGAATTTAAAAGAAAGACAAAATCTGAATCAGTCAAGAAAAGTGCAATGAATACATCTACTTTTTAAGGTGTCTGAGAGATAATGAGATCCCAGACAACGTAGGTGCTTTAAAAAGAGCCAATGAAATTTTTTAAAATCCTAAAACTAGAAGCTTTATAAATGACCTCAGTGCAGCTGCTATTTGGCCATATTTCCTTTTTCTAATGAAACTTCTGCCAGCAGCTTTCTGAAGTAGCTGAAGTTGATTGAAGTGAAACGCTTTTCAAGTTTCCTGTAAGCAATCTGTTACGGCCAACTACAAGTATAAGTATGAATGGCTCTTTCAGCATCCTCTTTTCACCTTTACTGCATTTCTTAGGTGATTAAAACTTTTTTCGTTTCCCAGAAAACACTGTAATAATTTGAAGGACATTTCCAGAGTCAAAATTCTCCTCCAGTAATCAGTGTTCCCCTCTAATCTTTATTTTTGACCCAAAACAGAAAGTCATCATCTATTTTCAATTAAAGGTGACCCACCTGGCAGTGGGAACATACCTCTGTCAATCTGTGCAAGCTCCTGGTTCTCCCCTTCTGAGTCATCGCTCTCCCCTCCCTCTCCGCTGCCATGGTAGGAAATCTGGAAAAAGCATCAGCTTGTACTGTAGGTCAAACATGCAATGCTAAATTAACCCCTCATATCCCCTGCTGATATGAATCTTAATATTACACACACATACACAAAAAATACAAAGTTTATCATACAAGGATATATGAGGGTCCTTCTCTTTCAAGCCAAAGAAAAGGAAGATTTTGGTCTTAGATCGTGACACTTGGTGTGGGTGTAAAACTGATTTGTTGGCAGTTTTAACAGGGCTTAAAAGTGTTTTTTAGCCCTGAATATTTCATGTGTATATCTCTTTAAGTTCACAGGTTTTGACAGCAATAATGCAAACTAAAAATCACCAAACTTTAACTCACTTTTATATAATTCCAGAGCCTTTACGTTAGAAAATATTCATACCTTGAGAGTAAAATTTTGCCTGGCTTCAGTAAACATACACAAGTTGCTGTACAGAAAAACATTCAACCAAAACCAGACTGTCTCTTTAAAAATCGTTTCCTCCTCTACAGCAGCAACAACAATACAGATACCCTGCAGACTGCAAAGCTAACAGTTAAGTAATGCGCCTCACACTCAGTAATTACCACTCCGAGGCTTCGCTGAGCAGCTGCCATCTGTGCTTGAGCTTGTGTGTACGATGACACACATACATCCACACAAACATACAGTGTCCTCCCTTCTAGTGTGTAACACACACACACACACACACACACACACACACACACACACACACACACACACACACGCCACCTCCTCCTCCTCTTTCTGAAGGCCTTCAAAAAAATACAGTGAAAAAGGGGAAAATGAGCCAGGGTTTCAAAGACAAATACAGGGAGGACAGTATTCAATTCATATTAACTGAAAGTTCCAGAGTATGCTGTTATGCAACAACATCAAGGCCGTTGAAACACATTATTCACATCTTATATCAGCAGTAATAAGTAACAGGAGTTTTGGCCGACTTTCTGTCAGCCAAAACTCCTATTAATCATAAATGTAGTTTCCTTAAATTGCTACAGACCCATGTAGGCTAAACTAACTGAAAACATGTCATACTTACAGCCCAATGTGTCCTATCAGTGCAGACCAAAGAATAGGCCAAAGCAAGTCTGATGATGTAACACTGCAAACACTCTTTCCACACTTTATGTTGCTAGCTCAATGATTTTTGTCTTTCACAAAGTAGGACAGTGTCTAAATGACCCTTGAAAACAATGTTAATTTATAGATGATATTTTAGACTAGACCAAAAAACTCTGGGACCATCTAATAAGAGGTTTTTTACCTCCTTGTGATTGGCCATTTACAAATGTTTAACTGGAGTGTCCCCCTTCATTTAATGCTTCCTTTAAAATCTTCAGTTGCTTATACTCTCCAAGAGCAAGTCTGATAACATCAAAAAGTCACATCTGAGCAGGTTTTAGCAGGTATGCAGGTAAACAATCCAAGCTGGGTGCGAAAGATGGACATTTTTTTCCAAATGCCTATTATCAAAGGCTTAGCTTTCTATTATTTTTTAATCAATTTGAATCCTTAAACAAAGATTTGCAGAACAAAAGAGAAATTTTGGTCCCAGATATCAGCTGACTACATCAGTAGTGCATTCAAAATTTGCACCCCGAGGCTAAGTCAGCAGAGAAGCCCAGATAATGGATCTGGTGGTAGGTTTGTGAAATGAACGTAGCCTGTCCCAGTTTACTTCCACCAAGAGCTGAGGTGCTCCACAGACAAGTCCCTAATCTATTCCAGATTTTATATGGTCTAACACAGAGAAACAGATAATCATACATGTCATTTGCCAATTTAGAATCACCGGTTAAATAAACATGTGTGTATCCGGAGTATCTAGAGGAAATGCAAGCAGGTTTTAACAGAATATGCACAACTCCACACAGAAAGGCAAAGTAGATTTGAAGAAGGAACCTTCTTGGTGTGAGGTGACAGTGCTAGCAGTAGGTAGTAAGCACTACATGCCAAAGTTTCCAATTTGACCAAGTGCTATGTGCTAAATTAATATGACTTATTCCCCAAGTATATAGCATACTACCAGCAATGACATGGCTCATCAACTAAAGGCCATTCGGGGTCGCTATAGCTCAGGAGCTACAGGTCCTCTGTTAATCAGGAAGTTGATTGTTTAATCCCTTGCTGCTCCAGTCTGGATGCCAATCTATCCTTGAGCAAGATACCGAACCCCAAGGTTGGTCCCAGATATCAGCTGACTACATCAGTAGTGCATTTAAAATTTGCACCCAGCGGATAAGTCAGTAGAGAAGCCCAGCTAATGTTTCCCCAAGTTTTTCTCTGATGCATCCATTGTAGTATGAATGTTAGACACCAAGCACTCATGTAGGAAAAAGCATGGAAAAGTGTACAAAACAGTCCATTTCCCATGAATGCAATTACTACATTTATTGACAATCTAACAACAAGAGTTTAAGGAGTTTAGGGAACAACATGGCAATGCTTAAAAATGAAAGGCAACAATTAACAGAACTTTTTAACCCTACAGGAACATTAACTGAAGCAATAAATATCCTACAAATACTGAAACGAACTGAAAACGAGCTACAGCTGAAGATGCTAAATCGGAAGCTCCACTTGCTCAAAGTAATTCATTCATTTTAAAAAAAAAAACATGCCACCTTCAGGAATCTCAAGGCAAGATGTTCTAACAATGTTACCGCTAAAGATTTTTAAAAAGTTATCACCAACCATTTTCTAGAACATATATAGAGGATGCTATCCTATCTTAATGAAGAACATTTTGGGAACAAAATATAAAATTCCATTACAGTAAAGTCATCTAAAAGTGTATTATATTCCATGCAATAAAAGAGTGTAGCCATCATGCTTTTCACTGGTGCATGAGCTGTGGGAAGAATACTCAATGAACAGACCCAGAGCCAGTTCACAAGACAAAACCCCTTGGCTGAGGGAGTCTCGAGTTAAACAGCTTCACTTCATGAACTCCATATGAAAAAGATGTTGAGGAATAACTGTGAGGAGGAAATGTGTTTTGGCAAGTGGTTGGCTTGGGCTTCAACTCCACTGTATACTACAGAGAGTTATTGTTGGGCAGCATCCATAAAGCAGTCGAAATCCTGTTAACATTACTGTTGTAGGATACCAAGAGTGAACTGGTACTAGTTGCGGGTTATAAACATTTTAATTGTACTCAGAAGAGACAGGAATTTAGTCTGAGTCGCTTAAATAAGTTTTCACTCACAGTGAGATCACCACTGAGATCAAGTTAGCAGCTTTTGCTTCTCTGCTTCTTTGGAATTCTGAAAGCTTCTCCACAGACAAATCTCTGTCAGTCGGAAAAATGAATGATTCTGATAAATTCTGGCATGTTTACATTTTACATTTTCATGCCAATGTCCATGAACATGCTCTGTCTGCATCTTGACCCCCCACGCCCCCTCCAAAAAATGCCAGCTTAAAAAAAAAAAAAAAAAAATCCAACACTTACAATTTTGCCCATCAAAAAAAGGAGTCTGCTAATGCATGCTAATCAGTTGGCTAAGGATATATGGTAGGAAGTCCTCCCTCGATGACAACCTTTTCCAAATGATAACAGACATTAGTAAAGTGGTTAAACCACAACAGAAACCCCATGTGTGTGAGAAGCATGTGGTTGTGGTGGCTGAAGGTGACTCATGTCTGGAAAAAGACAAATCAAAATGGCAGATGGTGGAGTGGCTCATGGTCCTTTGACTGTGACTTACAGAAAGATATTTTAATGCAATCAAAATCTGAAAATAGAGCAACAGCTATTCTCTTGACCCCGGCTGCGGTCAAACAGACCAAAAAAATGACTTCCTTTTCCTAATCACTTTACCTTGATCTCGATGGAAAACATGTCAAGGAAATTTGTAAAGGAGAATTTCTAAGGACTTAGGAAAAGTGAACCACTGTGCTCGGGGAATTCGACTATACTTACATAAGACTACTTAACAATGTGAATGTTGTTGACATGGAACTAGCCAGAGATGACAATGACATCCACATCTTAAATACTTCATCTCATGGAGGTCACAGTGATTGAGATTAGTTGCTTATCAAGTCCACTCATATTTTCTCATCCTACTGGAGAGACGATCTTATTCTGACTTTCTGGGACTGAAGTCAAGACAGTCCTAAAGACTGCAAAACAATAATGGACATAACTAATGCAAACTAAATGATAGTGAACCTTAAAATGACTTTGATCACTTTGATAAAGCTCATAATCATAATTGTTTAATCATAGAAAATCTATTCTCAGAGTTAATTTTTGGGTTTAACAACACTGTGTTAAAGAATCATACATATTAGCAGGTTAGGTCACAAAATGGAAAATGCACTGTTAATATTTACATGATTTCTATTACTTGTTATTTATGTCTATTTGTTTTCACAAACTGATGGTTGCTATGAATTGTGGGACTTTCCTTTCATAAAGGATGCTCCAAAGTACCCTTTGCTAAAGGATGCAATAAATGAAGCATTGAGCACTGATATAGTGGTATCGTTCATTCATTCAGATTCATGGAAATCTTCCTAAGCAAAAATGACTTTAACTGGAAACCTCTTCAATTAAAAACGTGATAAAAATTAACAGAAGAATAACTTTTACCACATGAAAGTTTGAGGGAGAGGATATGGCTCCATAGGGCTAGACTATCTAGCTATGAGACTTTAGAAGTTCTTTGCTTCTAGTTTCTCACCAGAAGGGGTTAAAAGACCAACAACAGCTCAAGCATGAACAGAACGAGACCCCTTCCCATGAACTCAAAAGCTACTACAGCATCTGATAAATTTCTCTTAATGCAAAACAAGTACATATCAACAGATGATAAAAAATAAGCTATGCAAAATCTCCTCAGGGAGTGTGAAGCAAAGCCGTGGTGCATGCATGAGTATTTGAATAAGTTTCACTTTGTTTTTCTAGACAGCAAAAACTTGTGACAGTTATCTGATATCAGGTATTACTATGAAAGAGAAAAAAACTTTGCATGTGTTCTCAGTGA